GGGGGTGCATGGGTGGAGATGGGGGTCGGGGAATGCACAGGCGGAGTGCATGGGCCGAGATGGGGGTCGGGGCCGAAGCACAGGGTTGACGTGGGGTGCACAGCTGGGGGTGGGATGGGGGGGCTGCAAGGGGTGGACGGGACCCCACTGATCCCCTCCCCCGCTGGGCGGAACCAGCAGCGGCTCTGTGGGGCGCAGGCAGCAGGTGGGTGGGGAGCTCCCTGGGGCTCAGCTGGAGTCTGGCCAGGGATGGGTCTGTTATTATCCGCGCCACCGCCTGGCGGGAGAGGGGAAAATAGCCCAGACTCCTGGGTTCTCTCCCTGGCTCTGGGAGTGGAGTGAGGTCTAGTGGTTAGAGCGGGGGGGGAGCCAGGACTCCTGGGTTCTCTCCCTGGCTCTGGGAGGGGAGTGGGGTCTAGGGGCTAGAGCGGGGGTGGGGGGCTGGGAGTCAGGACTCCTGGGTTCGATTTGAGTCGCTCTCATCTCTTTCAGGATTCCTCCAGCATCAGGATGTTCTTTACGTGTGGCCCCAATGAGGCCATGGTGGTCTCGGGTGAGTGGCTCCCCCCTGCTAGTCTCATGTGGGAAGAGACGATCCCAGGGTAGGAGCCTGATGCTGCCCCCTCCCCCTCCTGGGACCCCTAACCCCCAGCCCCACCCCCACACTGCTGGGGCGGCCCCATCAGCCGGCTGAGACCTGGGCCTAATGCCACGAGCTCGTTAGGGGCCCGATCCCCGGGAGAAACCCGGACCAGGGACTGGAGTTGGAGCCCCCCCAGCACAGTGGGAGAGCTCTCCCCCACCCAGCCTCCCACTTATGGGACTCGCCCCCCCCAGCCTCCCTGAGCCAGCCTGAAATACCCAGCAGTGAAGAGCTGGGATCTGAGCCAGTGACATCACCTGCTCCCAGGGGATGGGCCTGGGGGCGGGGGGGGGAGCAGGAGCTAATCTGATGGTTAAAGATCAAATCCTCTTTTCTGCATCACTAATGGCCACTGGGGAACAGCAAGGAGCAGGGTGGGGGGCAGCAGGGAGTGAGTGGGGGCTCGGACGGGGCACTATGCTGTGGGGAGCGGGGCGGGGGCAGCAAGGGGAGCTGGGCTGTGGGGAGCAGGGTGGGGGTAGCAGGGGGAGCTGGGCTGTGGGGAGCAGGGCGGGGGGCTCGTTTGGGGGAGCTGGGCTGTGGGGAGCGGGGTGGGGGCTCGTTTGGGGGAGCTGGGCTGTGGGGAGCAGGGCGGGGGCAACAGGGGGAGCTGGGCTGTGGGGAGCAGGGCAGGGGGCTCGGCCGGGGGAGCTGGGCTGTGGGGAGCAAGACTTAAAATCAGTCTCAGTCACTCTGAAGTCGTGTTGCGACCCCGGTGTCCCAGCTGAGCTCACTTCCTGCCTCCTTAAAATTTCCCCAGTGGTTTCAAATTGTTCAGGATTCACGGCACGTTCCCCAGCTGCCCACCCTAGAAGCAGCTGCATCTCAGCGGCATGCAGCGTCCCTGTTCTACATGGCTGTTCCCCAGCCAGCCACCCCACAGCTGGCTGTATCTCAACCATGGGCGAGCCCTCCCCATGCAGCGTCGCTGTTCCACGCGGCTGTTTCCCGGCTGTCCCACCCCAGAGGCGGCTGCATCTCAGTGCCCAGTGGCGGCTAACACTCTCCTCCCCTCCCCCTAGGCTTCTGCCGCAGCCCCCCAGTGATGGTGGCAGGGGGCCGGGTCTTCGTCCTCCCCTGCATCCAGCAGATCCAGAGGTGAGTCTCCGAAACCCCCCTCCGCAGAGAGCCCCTAGGTCAGGGCTCCCTGGCTCGTCCCTGCACTCCCCAAGTCTGTAGGGGACCCCCCGTCACTCCGCTGGGGCAGGGGTTGCCAGGACTGAGGAGGGGTCAGAGCTCGGGCTTTGGGGCAGGGAGGAATCAGAGTGTGGGGGTGGGGATACAGGGCTGGATGGGTCCATAGGGGGAGTGGGGGTGTCCCCTCTCCTGACCCCCCTGCTTTCCCCACAGGATCTCCTTGAACACGCTGACCCTGAACGTGAAGAGCGAGAAGGTTTATACCCGGCACGGGGTCCCCATCTCTGTCACTGGCATCGCCCAGGTAACCGGCGTCCCCTGACTCCGAGGTCGCTGTGGAAACCCCAGGGAGGAGGGAACAGCGTCGGGATCACCTAGGAAACCATCCAGCTACCCGGTCCCCCCCAATGGTACCTGCCACTCACCCCCATATTTCCCCCAGTGGTACCTGCCCAGCCTGGCTCATCCACCCCATTTCCCCATTGGTACCTGCCCAATGATGCCCTGGGACCACAGGGCCAGAGCCCCCTTGACCACCATGGATACCATCTCCAGGCAGCTGTTGTCGGGGTGCAGGCAATAGCCTCTTCCTCTTAAAGGGGAAGGCGCCCCACCCCTGGAGCATCCCTGGAGGTCTCAGGGAGGGGTCTCGGGGGCAGGGGGCTCCATCCCTCCCCCCTCTCATCCCCTCGCTCCGGCAGGTGAAGATCCAGGGCCAGAACAAGGAGATGCTGGCGGCTGCCTGCCAGATGTTCCTCGGCAAGTCGGAGAGCGAGATCACCCACATCGCGCTGGAGACGCTGGAGGGACATCAGCGGGCCATCATGGCCCACATGACTGTGGAGGTGAGGGGCCAGCGGCTGGGGGGTCAGCCCCTTGCTGGGGGGTCAGCCCCTTGCTGGGGGGTCAGACCTGCCGCCCCATGTGTCTGTCCCAGCCCCGCCCCCACCCCGACTCACCCCTTGTCTCCACGCCCCGGGCAGGAAATCTACAAGGATCGGAAGAAGTTCTCAGAGCAGGTTTTTAAAGTGGCCTCTTCAGACCTGGTCAACATGGGCATCAGCGTGGTGAGCTACACGCTCAAGGACATTCACGATGACCAGGTAAGGGAGAACGGCACCCCGTAGAGGGGAAAGGCCCCGTGTCCCATTCCCAGCCTGGAGCCAGCCAGTCCCTGCCCTGCCCCGGGGCGGATGGGAGCCGGCACCCCCTAGAGGGGAAAGGCCCCGTGTCCCATTCCAAGCCCGGAGCCAGCCAGTCCCTGCCCCGCCCCAGAGTGGATGGGAGCCAGCGCCCCCTAGAGGGGAATAGGCTCCAGCCAGGCTGTGTGGCGTGACTGAGGTGTCTGTCTCTGTTCCGTTCTCCCCCTCCCCGCCCCGGCGTTGCCCCAGGATTATCTGCACTCGCTGGGGAAAGCCAGGACCGCCCAGGTGCAGAAAGACGCCCGGATGGGGGAAGCTGAGGCCAAGAGAGACGCCGGCATCAAGGTGAGTGCTGGACGCGTGGGTCTGACCCGGGGGGGGCAGAGGGATTCCAGCTGGCTGGGTCCATGGGGGTCTGATCCAGGGGTGGGGAATTCCAGGCTGACTGGGTCAGATCTAGGGGCGGGGAGCACAGGCCCACCGGCCTGCAGCTGTGACCCGGGGGCAGGGGACATGGGCGGGCCGGTCGGCCTGCAGCTCTGCCCCGGGGTTGGGGAGCACGGGCCAGCCAGCCCGGGGGTCAGACTGGGCAGGGGATACCGGCCGGCCCGTGGCTCTGATGGGGGACAGGGGTTACCGTGGGTCTGACCCCCGCGCCCGCAGGAGGCCAAGGCGAAGCAGGAGAAGCTCTCTGCCCAGTACTTAAGCGAGATCGAGATGGCCAAGGCGCAGCGGGACTACGAGCTGAAGAAAGCCACCTACGACATCGAGGTGAACACCCGCAAGGCCGAGTCCGACCTGGCCTATCAGCTGCAGGTGAGACGCCCTGGGGACGGGGGTAGGGGGATCAGGGCCCCCCCAATGCGAGCCCCTGACCCGGGCGTCTGGGCACCATGGGGCACCGTAACCCAGCAGGTCAGGCACGTCGATGTGATGGCCAGAGATGGCCAACCCACAGCTATTGACCTGTGACCCCTGACCCCAATGCTGACCTTTGACCCCCTGCAGCTTGTCTCTGGACAGCCTGGTGGGTTGACCCTCTTGGCTTCCTTCCCTGCCCGATGACTCCACCCTTTGCTCTTGGCGCCCCTTGGCCGGCCCCTGGTGGCATCTCTGGCCCCACATGTCTTCGCCGCCCAGCGGCATCAACGACGACCCGTCCAGTGGCATTGGTTCTGGACCTGTGACCCCTTTGTCCAGGCTGACCCCTCCCCCACTTCACTGACGTCAGCTGTTGACCCTTGGACCCCTCCCACCCCCCCCACCCCATGGCCATGTTGACCCCGGTCCTACCTTGGAGGCGTCAGCTCTTGGCTCATAACCTCTGCGTGGTGTTGACTTTTGATCTGTTGTTGGGGTCAGTTCTTGACTTATCAACCCCCCCTAGTGTTGACCACAGACTGCCCCCAACATTGACCTTTGACCTGCCTCAGTGGGGTCAGCCCTTGCCAGCCTCCCCCCCCCACCATGGTGGTGTCCCTCGATCCCTCACTGTTGCCGGTTCTTGACCTTTCACCCCTTGAATCCTCTCAACCGGGGGTCAAATCTTGACTTACAAATGCCAGCAGTGTTTACCCATGACCCCTCGACATTGACCTCTGACCTCCCAGGGGGCGTCGGCTTGGCATGAACCCCGGGTGTCCATGGTGGCGATGCCCATTGGCGCAGCCGATGTTTGATCCTTCGCCCCGTGGTGTCAACTCCCGCTGCCTTGGCCCTGCTGACCTCCCCCGGCGGTGACCCCCAACCCCTCCCCGTGCAGGTGGCCAAGACCAAGCAGAAGATCGAGGAGCAGAAGATGCAGGTGCTGGTGGTGGAGCGGACCCAGCAGATCCAGCTGCAGGAGCAGGAAATCATCCGCAAGGAGCACGAGCTGGAGGCCACGATCAAGAAGCCGGCCGAGGCCGAGCGCTACCGGCTGGAGAAGCTGGCGGAGGCCCAGAGGTATCGTGCCCCCCGGCCCCCTCTCTCCACGCCGCCCTCCAGCCACCCCCGAGACCCAGCTGGGCCGAGCGCTTCCGGCCCGGACACCGCCCCGCGACCCCTTCCCAGCTGGGTCTGCAGCCGTACCCTGGCGCCCCGTCCCCGATCCCCCCCGGGGCTCCCTGCCAGCCTCAGCCTGCCTCCCCGCACATGGTGCCCCGCCTCTGATCCCCACCCCCTCACCCAACGCCCCCCCCAACACCCTGCCCCTCACCTCCCCATCCTGCGCCCCGCTCCGATCCCCTCCCCCAGCAACCCGCCCCCCACCTCCCCATCCCGCGCCCTGCTCCGATCCCCCCCCCAGCACCCTGCCCCTCCCCATCCCGCGGCCTACTCCAATCCCCTCCCACAGCACCCTGCCCCTCATCTCCCCATCCCGCGCCCCGCTCCGATCCCTCCCCCACGCACCTACCCCCCACGCACCCTCCCCATCCCATCCAGTGCCCTGCTCCGATCCCCTCCCCCCGAAACAGCCTGCCCCTCACCTCCCCATCCCGCGCCCCGCTCCAATTCCCAGCACCCCGCCCCCACCCCTCACCTCCCCATCCAGTGCCCCACTCCAATTCCTTCCCCCATCCTGTGCCCCACACAACAAGCCTCATACACCGCTCCTTCTCCTGACCCCCCTGCTCACCCCTCGGCATCCTCCTTCCCCACAAACCTCTGC